TGTGTACTAGATTTGAGGCTTTCACGGCCATTGATACAATGTCTAGATATAGCTTCCGGAATGGAGCCATGTCTTGAATCAGCGATATGCCGACGTTTCGCAAACGTTGCAGTTTGCATCATCAGGGCTCTCAGAGCTCATGTATCAGAGTTCTCAGCCTTGATGATGCAAACTGCAACGTTTGCGAAACGTCGGCATATCGCTGATTCAAGACACGGCTCCATTCCGGAAGCTATATCTAGACATTGAGTAGAATTTCTTATAGTGACTGTAATTTTTATGGTTATACAATTGGCATTTGACATAAGAATCTTACGTCCATTAAAAATGAACAACGAAAGCCAATTGAAGCGTGATGACGTATAGGCAGTGAAAACATACTGACGAAATTTACAAAGTTAAGATACGTATGCATCAGAAAGTTAAAGTGTAATATATTATAAATTATATGCAGTAAATAAAATGTAAGTTTATTTTATATATTTATTGTATGTATTTTATGTGTTGTTTTATATGAAATATTTTCTGCAGATTTATAATTTTAATATGAATAGAATATTTTATCTTTTCATTATTTATCTTAAAATAATCCCAGACAAGCAGACTTCCAAAGAACGTTCTAAAGACGTCACTATGTCTTAAAAACATGCTGAAAAAAATTCTAAAGATGTCCCTTGCAAATTGGTGTTGTCTTGAGTATATTGTAATATTTGTCTTACTTAGGTTACTCTTGACTCATATAGTTTACACTGATCCTAAATAGTAAAATGCTCAGACAGCACAAAATCTCTTAAAGACATCCCAGGGACGTCCTGAGGACGAAGAAACGTCCTCAGGACGTACTCTGGACGTTTCCTGGACATCTGTGCTGTTAGAGTGACGTCTTAATGATGTTAAATAATGCTTTAATAATGTTTTTAATGTCAATAAGACATCACTAAAATGTCAGTTGACGTTATTTTGCTGCCATGTTGAACACAATTTTTCCATAGAAGGAGGAGGGCATACTAGGTGGCGGCGGGACGCCGTGCGTTCGAGATTTGCGTATCTTTTCATTCCAGAAAGAGAAAAATATCGAGAGCACGGCTTTGCTAGGCCGGGACTCGAACCCGGGTCTTTCGCTTGCCGCGCGACTGCTCTAAACCACTGAACTATCTGACGCTCCACGCTCACGACACTCGTGAAAAATTTCAATTTTCACAAATTCACGTTAAATCTTTCATTTTTCACGAGTTTAGTGAAAGTTTTCATCTTTCACGAATTTATTACAAAATTTTCACTTTTTACGAGTTCACACTAGGGAAAAAGATTCATGATCGCTACCCAGTTTAAAAGTACTTTTACATGGGAGCATCGAGCGTTAAAGCGGTAGCCAATCAACGTGTCACTTTCCGCAAGAACTACAAGTATACTTCTGGGACCTGATACGTTGATTGGCTAACGCTTTAACGCTCGACGCTGGAACGCTTCCATGTATTGGCACTTTTACGTTATATATAGAGAACTTCTAGTACAGAGAATCGCCAACTTGGTTATGTGATCACCTACTCGGCTACTCTGCGATTGGCTGGCATAAACATGTGCGGATTTGGACATTGCGATGCCGATGCAAAACCATATATATATATATATATATATATATATATAAGCATTTGTCTGCATTGGCGTCGCAATGTCTAAATCCGTATATATTGATGCCAGCTAATCAGCTGGTCACGTGATGAAGTTGGCGATTCTCTTTACTTGAGGTTCTCTAGTCGCATGGGGAGGCATCATAAGGGCCTTCGCACACAAATTGACATAACAGTAACGTAAGACGTACCGTAAGAATTAATCAATTATGATCGAATATTCATAAAAATGGCGACCTTACGGTTCAACGATTCTCAACATGATTAGTCAATTCTTACGGTACGTCTTACGTTACTGTCAATTTGTGTATGAAGACCTTAACCATAGTTGAATTTTGGGACACATCCCAGATGGTTAACACTTGCGCATGCGCGCATGAGACATCTATCTTCTTCTTTTATGTCTCCATCTCTCATCACGCACTGCTTTCATTACTGGTCGACAGTTTTCTAACGAAGGCAGCGGACGGGTGGTACCTCGTACGACCTCGTGTGAATAAACGTGCGAGACGCCGTGTGTATTATCGCAATTGTGAGAAATGGGTGGCGAAGAAGGACTCGGCGTGACCACCGGTCAACCGAATCTGTGCAAACAAGATCTATCCAAATTGGTGAGTCGTGATTTTGGTTGAGTGCCGCGTCAGCTTTTTCATTCGTTATTACTTAACCTCATCCGTGCCCGCCTTTAACATACTGGTTAGCCGCGGCGGCATTTTACCGCATTTTGGACTCATATGAGTCCTTGCAATAGTTCTTTTTCTTCGTTATTACTATAAATCTAACCAATATTCGTTCCTAACATACTTAACGAATGCATAATATCATATATGTTACTCAGAATTTTGTTCTGTGAGAAATAATGGCGCAATTCGCCAACCAAGTTTAAGGTTGGTTGAATTAGACTAATTTACAATTCATTTATGCTATCCTTCATGTTTTACATATTTTGTGGTTGAGGTCAACGTACATAAATTACCGCAATTATAAAAAGTAAGTATAATGTTAAGCCAAAAGGCCAATGGAGATAGTTTTAATAATCTAGTAAAGGATTAAGATATTGAAATTTTAGAGATTAAAATATTAAGGTTGGAGGGAATGTAGGCAAGAAATTAACTGTAAAAATAACTTGAGTTTTAGCCGGTTACTTGTGCTTTAATTAAATTTTCCTGAATGTCAAAATATGGATTGTTTTAATCAATACAATTATACTGATCAGTAATGATCAACCTGATAGCAGCGATGGTATTTGTATAATCTGTTCCTTGATGTATCTGTTTTCCTGTAATATTTATGTAAACAATGTCTAATAAATGTTTATTCCTCATATATTCTACAAGAGTTAATTATCTCCAGTAAAATAAAAATTCCTAGTAAGTAAATTGAATGCAGACTGTGCGCAAATTGGCAGCAAATTTGATCAAAAATTTACATCAAAACCATAGCCATCTGTGTCCTTATTCAGCTATGGTTTTGGTGACAGAGCTTGCTGTCGGGCAATTGCTGCAGATTTGCAGCAAAAACTGCGCAGAGCCTGCAGCGCAGCAAGGCCTGCACGGTTTCTGCTGCCAATCTACTGTCAGATTGCTACAAACTCTGCATGGTTTTTGCTACAAATCTGCAGCAATTATCCGACAACAGGCTCTGTAGCATATCTGGCGACAGTTTGGCAGCAAGATTTGATATAACAGATCTTGCATCAAATTTGTTATCTATTTGCAATAAAAAATTGGTAACAAGTTCTGCTCGAAATCTGTTCGCGCAGGTTTGGCTATCTGGGTTACTATTTTTCTTTTTCACTCTCTTTGCCCTTGTTTTCTCTCTCCTCTCACTCCTCTCGCCTCATATTATGTTTTACATCTTTTAAATTTAGTAAATTAAAATTTTGTTCTAGTGATATCATATTAAGAGATATATATCAAAATTAACATTTATACTTTGATATTATGCAGGATGTGAGCAAATTAACTGCATTGTCCCGTGAGGTAATCAGCAGACAAGCAACAATTAATATTGGTGAGTGTGCAAAGTTTTGGTTATCTGGAATATAATGCCATAAATATGAAACAGCATAAAATTTTATCTGAATTTTTTACAGGTACCATCGGGCATGTAGCGCACGGAAAATCGACGATTGTAAAAGCAATTTCGGGTGTACAAACTGTACGTTTTAAGAATGAATTGGAGAGGAACATTACTATTAAGCTCGGTGAGTATGTTACGACGTGTCGGATCTTTTTTCTCCATTGCACATTGTACTTATTGTAGCATGATGGAAATGTGTCTTTTAGCATAGACAATTATGATCAGCTGCGTTTAGCAGAAAAGGCACCCTACTAGGTCTGTTCTTTTTTGATGAACTTTCCGAACTAATGTATACTGATGCAACAAGAATATTTTGAAACAAGAAACATATATATATATATATATATATATATATATATTTTGTTTCACTATTGCTTATCGCACCAATGTACATCAGTGCAGGAAGTTCTTCAAAAAAAGATAGACCTGCTGACTGTTTTGCACCACACTGCCAGCAGTTTTACGACCGTCGTAAGATTTTCGGTTAAACGACATTGGCGATTTACGCTCTTCCAAGTTGTTTATTAGGCGGTCGCCATTCTTTCAATATACTTTTGATATGCTAGATCGCTCGATAAACATATTGGAGAGAAACGTAAACAACCAAGTGATCAAAAGGGAAGGGATAAGAGCCTGTTAAGACACACAGATATAATAGTGTGATATTAACTAGCTCGATTAATAAACTCTAGTGTCTACCCTTAAGGATGTGCGAGGAAAAATTTTTTATTCAGTAACAAAACCAAATGCGTTTCGGTTCTTTACTGAACCCTCTTCTGTGGTAGCAAATTAGGGAAATAATTAAAAAGATACAAAATTTATTTGAATATAGACGTAGTCAAATGATTGATAACAGCAACGCAAGTCAACAAATGGTAAAAAAAATTAGTAAAAAAGCGCATCGAAGGCGAAGCAATAATACAGAAATGTGACAATGTAGCAATAAATATTAAATAACAAAATGTCGGAATTAGACAAAGAAGAATCTATGTGGTTCAAACCCAAAAAACCAAATCTAACAAAATAACAAGAGGCTTAACTGCCGCGACAACCGTTCAAGTAAAAGTTAAGTCCACAGTTAAAAACAAAGCCACATCGTTTATACAGACGCAGCGAGTAAAGATAAGACAGAGTTTATAAAAATCCAAAAATAATCTGCAATATTAAACACTAATCGGCGTGAAGATATTAAAATTGGAATATTTTATTAGTAAGGCATATGCTTGAAAATGTTACCTGGAAGCTAAGCAGCGGCTAAACAAAGTGTTACCGGAAAAAATGACAACAGCTGGAGCAAGTTTGAAACAGGAGGTCAAAGCACGACAGCGAAATGCGAGGCCGCTCAACACACATCGTGTATATGAACAAAGTGTGTCAAATGCCGCCGTATCTGACATAGTGAGTCATAAACAAAAAGAAAAAAACTATCAGTTCAACATCGCCGAATAACTTTCACCCAACAAATCCGTGTCGTTTTAATCCATGCTTCTGTTTCTCAATAATCTCAATAATGCTTCTGTTTCAAAATAATTTCAGCAACTAGCCTCCTGTAATAATTCGGTTCCCTATGTAAGATTTTTGTGTGGATCCAATCAAAATCATGCCATGTAAGAGACGGTGTTCCTGAACAATTGAGAGGTCCGCAGATGGATTTTGGGGGATCCTTTTGTGCTCCTTAACGCGTATGCCGAGTTTCCTACCCGTTTTACCACTACATTTTACATTCAAATGAATTTTATATCTTTTTAATTATCCCCCTAATTTGTTATCACTGAAGAGAATCCAGTGAAGGACTGAAACGCGTTTGGTTTTGTTATTATATTAAATAAAAAAATTTTTCCTCGCATATCCTTAGAGAATAGACACTAATAGTTTATTAGTCGAGTTAGTTAATATCACACTATTACATCTGTGTTGATTCTTAACAAACCCTTATTTCCCTTCAGATTCTTTATCTAAAGAGCTTTACAATCAAGTGACATTCAGCGCAAAGTGATTATTCAACTGCATTTTGCTGAATGTAACATTTATTCTCCACCCTAGTGCGCTTGCTCGCGAGAAAAGAAGGACAAAGATATGGAGATAATTATGAGAGTAAATGATAATGCCACAACGAGTAGAAATTATAATCTCTTGTTTTAAGGCTTCTGGTTCCACTGCTGCGAAATCCTGGATTGACGACGACAGAAGCGAAAAAACGCATGACAAAAATTCTTGCGTGTCATTTTCAAATAAGAACATATTTGTATGAAAGAACATATCAGATCGTTTGAGGATATTTGCAAAATACTGCTGAAACTTTCATTTCCCCTTGACGGTCAGTAAATAGTCTTAAGATTAAAAGTCTTACGATGACAAAACCATGGGGAAAGGTAAGTGAAGAAGAAGGTTGCATCATTACGTTAACTTAAAGGCTATTTGTTGACTGTCAAGGGAAAAAAGTAATTTTTAGAGCACTTTACAAGTGTGCTCAAGCGAGCTAAAGTGTTCTTTCATACAAACATCTTTTTATTGGAAAATTGCACGTAAGAATGTTTTTATGCGCTTTTTATTTCTGACGTCATTAATCCAGAGTTCCGCGACAGTGGAACCAGGAGTTTTAATTTTGGTAGAATAAAATACAATAATTGTATTTAATCGCAATATGAATCGATTATCAGCCGAGTAACTGCTTCGAATGATTAAGTTTTTATATGTGTGCATGTAAGTGCAAGCTAATCAACATTTCGAAAGAAGACGTGCGATATTAACACGAGATGTGAATTAGAATAGGCGAGTGCGATTATGTATTAAGATGGAGCGTGTAACATGCTCGTGTCACACGCTTCACTTTACGATATAAAATGTATCGTATGATCTATGTAGAATGCAATGTATATGTATATTGCCGAAAAGCATATTCGCGATTTGTCGTATTATCTGACCTCGCCTCTATCCCGAGCGAACGTTTTCTAAAACGAAGAGACGTTGGCGCAACGTAGCTTTGTCGTAATTCGTATGCACAAGTTGCCTGTAACTATCCTGCCTGTGATTTTAAATCGCATAAAAGCTTGCAATAAAGTGTTTAGAATTTAGATATGGATGTACTGTGTGATATTTATATCGCGACTGTGTGCGCTTTCATACTTTTGGTCGCGCCACACGTCCGGGAAAGACCGTAAACAATGGAAAAACACTGATATGTGTTTTGATAGACAGGTATACAATGTGAATAAAAGTGTACGATGCAAAAAAACAAACTGACATTCCTTACCAATCGTAATTGTGGAAGCTGCGAGCAGGACAAAATCCGGATGTCCCCTCGGAGACGATTTTAGAATTAGCTATGTCCACGTACCCATTAAGTCCGAATCGATAATCAGGGCACGAGTCAAGCACTCCGGGGTCCTATACTATCGCTAGTACGTTTGTCCGGCATCGATCTCGAACGTGCAAAAAAAAAGTAAAATATGAAAGAAGGAGTGTTGAAGCGGAGAGCGGAAGCAAAAGTGCGGCGCTAAACGGACGAAAAAAAAACTCGGCGAGAGGAATAGGGGAGAGTGGTCGTTCGAATAGAGAAAGAAAAACAAAGATAAAAAAACGAAACATAAAGCGGCATATATGACCGACAGGGAAATGACGCACTTTAAATGTTTGGCATTGCAGACTCGGCGGACGGTAGCAGCGGCGAAAAGGCAGATATATCCGGCGGCAAAAGCGCAATGCCGGCCGTTTACCGAAAACGACACCTCTCCCCTGGAGACATTGATACATTGCCACCGTTCGCCAAGCAGCCCAAGCTCGATGAGAATCGCAACAAGTCCCGACGACTGGACAGCAGAGACATTTTCCTCCGCTCCTCCTCTTCAACATCATCATTGTCGACGACTTCGTCATCGTCGTGGTCGTCGTTACCATCATCACCATTGCCATCGTCGTTGCCATCAGCGTCATCGTCGTCATCGTCATCCTTATCATTGTTACCATCGTCGTCGTCGTCGTCATCGTCATCATCATCCTCATCGTCGTCGTCAGTATTGTCATCGTCGTCATTATCGTCGTCATCATCGTTGTGGTCGTCGTCGTCGTCATCATCGTCGAAGCGACTACGGACGCGAGCGCAGCGGACGTTAGATATGATGTACGTGACTCGTAGACACGACAGCAGAAGGAGTCTGGGACAGCAGAAGGACTCAATGGACAGAGGCAGCGACGGCAGACAATCCGACGAGGAGTCGTCGGATAGTCGGCTGTCGGTGCGCGTGGACGGCTACTTGCACGACTTGGTGCTGAAGGAAGTGCGGGTGTTGCTGCACGACATCAAGTACAGCAAGGAATACGGCAGCGACGAGGCGATGACGAAAGAAGAGGGCAAATTCGGCCCCTCGTCCAAGAAGAAATCGAAGAGGCTGTGGGAAGTGGAGAAGATCCTGCAGAAGCGCAAACAGCGCGGCGACAAGGAGCCGCACTACTTGATCAAGTGGAAGGGCTGGGAGTTCACATACAACACGTGGGAGCCGCGGCGCAATCTTATCAACTGCGAATATCTGTTGCGCGAATTCGAGGAGAGCCGCCAGAAACTGATCGACCAGTTTAAGGCGCGGGAAAGCTTCTACCCGGATGCGCGCGACGCCGAGCGTCTCTTGGCCGAGCTGCGCTGCCAAGGTATATCGATAGACGATCTCGACACGTTGTCGAACGAGGTCGACTGTGTGTACAGCAATATCCGTTTGCATCTGAAAGACTCGCGCCGTCAGCAAGACAATACGAAGATCAAACGACAGATTCTGCATATGCTACTTCGTGAGCTAAGATGCGATCAGTTGGAGTCGCTGCAGGATTGGGAGAACGAGATGAACTTCATCGCGAAGTGCAAGCCGACGATACGGGTGGAGAACCTGGTGGATCTGGAGGGCGCGCCACAGGATTTCTACTACATAGACAACTATCTACCGGGCACAGGCGTCATAATTCCGGACGACCCGCCGATCGGCTGCGAATGCGGCGTCTGCGAAGCCAAGTCCAGCTGCTGCTTCGCGCAGAACGGTCAGTCGTTGCCGTACACATCGACCGGCCGGGTACGCGTGTCACCAGGGATACCAATCTACGAGTGCAACAAACGCTGCACCTGCAACGCCAGCTGTCCAAATCGCGTGGTACAGCGCGGCACGAGCACTCAGCTGTGCATCTTTCGTACGGACAACGGCCGCGGCTGGGGCGTGAAAACCCTGCGGGCGATCAAGAAAGGTACCTTTGTTGTCCATTACGTAGGCGAGGTGATCAGCAGCGAGGAGGCTGAGAGACGGGGCAAACAGTACGACGTCACTGGTCGGACGTATCTCTTTGACCTCGACTACAACGAGACCGACGGTCAGTGCCCCTACACTGTGGACGCCGCTATGTACGGCAACGTCTCGCACTTCATCAATCACTCGTGCGACCCGAACCTCGCGGTCTACGCGATCTGGATCAATTGCTTGGACCCGAACCTGCCAAATCTCGCATTATTCGCCATCAAAGACATCAAACAAAACGAGGAACTCACCTTCGACTACACCTGTCAGACGTCACGCGGCAACGAGAAGATGCGGCAACAGCTACGCGACACGCCGGACGCCGTCGTCGCGAAAAATAAGACTCTATGCAAGTGCGGCGCTGCGACGTGTCGGCGGTATCTCTTTTAAGCGAGAGCCCATCGCTCGGAGGTCCTTTTCTCTTTTATCTTTGTTTCTTTTTCGAAAGATAATGTGTGTATCGATCGGCATGAACACCTTATCGACCTTTCTCCTTCACATTCTCTCCTGAACTAGAGCCTCATTGTAATCTACAAAGAGAAACGAGTCATCATGATTCGTTGTTGACTCAGCAAACACGATTCCCTCGATCGTCTGTGTTAACGATTACTTGAGGAAAGTGAGATGAATGATGACGACATGCGCGAGCATAAACTAGAAGCTTTTTGAAATGCTGCTATTGCGTGTCGTTTCATCATTCTAATCGCGATCAGGATTGTTCTCCTTTAATTTTACTATATTAGGGAGGTAAAGTGATTCTTTTGGTGCTACAGAATACAGAAATAATTTAATGCAAGAAGTTTTACCTTGGTTGAGTCGTGTATGAAACTAATGAGATTTTAAAGGCGCGAGTTATGCAAGAAATCGCTGCTCATTGACTGACGAGAGAGAAACTATGAGAGATAGTGCGATCGTTGGGGTGTGAACTTTTTTAGATATATCTTAAATTACTTTCAACAAAATATATTGCTAGTTATACGATTTTATTTTCAATAGATTTAATGTTTATTTTTATATGTCTAGTTAATTGCACGAAGTACAGCACTAAGTATCGGTCTACAATCTCGCTTTAAGCTTTAAGTTCTAAGCAACTGACCAACCACAGTCAATTATTCTCCTTACGTTTCAAAAATAATCGATTGTGATTGGTCAGTTGTTTACGATTTAAATCTTAAAACGAGGTTGTAGATCGACACTAACGTGATGAATGTAAAACTGAATTTATTTTCCTGTAAACATAATAAAAAATGCATATCAAGCTTTATTATATAGAGTCTTCACATCTTCGATAGGCACCACATAGATGCACCCTATAATCTGAACGGCTTTGAGGCTGAGAGCCACGACTGTCAGTTGCGTGGCCCGCTGCGCGTCAAAGGAAGATAGAAGGTGTAGCTCTCGAAAATCGCCTGAAATGAGCAAACTATTCCGAGCTCTGATGTAGGTCGTGCACGAGAAGCGTCTTTTATCTCGAGTTCTCGCATAAAAGTCGGTGTATCGCGAACAAGTATTGCTGTATTTTACAGCCTCTCAGTCTCAGGACCGTTCAGATTATAAGGGGTGCATCTATGTGGTGCCTATCGAAGATGCGTTAGAGAAGCGCGCTAATCAGCGCTAACACGTCACTCAATAGCCCTGAGGCTGAGAGCCGCGACTGTCAGTTGCGTGGCCCGCTGCGCGGCAAAGAAAGATAGAAGGCGTAACTCACGAAAATCGCCTGAAATGGGCAAACTATTCCGAGCTCTGATCTACACGATTTCGCCAAGTTCACAACGTTTCTTGTTAATTGGAAATCCCGGAGAAAGCTCTCGATTATTGGAATATCGTAACAATAGCATTTCTCCGTTAAATTGATGAAAAATACATAATGTTTGAGATCTATCACGGGGATTTTGATGTCTGAATTTTAAACGAAGAAAAACAAGGAAAAAAAGAAAAAAGACACTTCTGTGTGCGCAAGTATGAAAAATATGAGTACAAAATATGAGTATGAAATTTTCGCCTTAATAATTGTAAGATGTTGTGAAAAATTGAGAAAGCGAATTGAAATCATTCTTTATGTATATTCTGTATCCTATATTCAATTTGTAAGCAATTTATAAGTTATCTTCGAAGGATAGTTTATGACTTCGTAGACTTATCATACTCACTAAGATGAATAGAAAATGATTATTCAATATAGATTCGCTGATCAGCTTGTATTATTACAAATTACACAAAATTATTTTGTCATTTTATTATTTTATTATTATTTTAACGTTTTTAGAACTGAACTGAACTGTTATATTGTTTATGGTATCTGTTGAATTGTTTGCTGAAGATATATACTAACTTTTTCAATATTTCCATAGAAAAGAGTTTAGAGGGAGATCGGGGAGAATCGGCTTTAGAGACTTTTTTGAAGTCTAAAACTTTTAATGCATTCATCTGCGGTAAACAATGTAGCAAAGTTAAAGCAATTGGCTAGAGAAGGAATGCATGTTGATCCTAAATAAATAAGAGACTTTTGAAAGAGTACAAAATCAGATAGATACGAAGATGTCAAATATATATTTATAAGTAGGAAAGGACGCATAATATGATAAATAATAAATCGATTAAATAATTCCTGTAATTTGTGATAATCTTCTGTTTTTATCTCGTAGGAAATCGCCGTTTGTTCTGAAACGAAGGATCTGTTCGGTTTAATTTGAATAGCATGAAGTATTTTCTATTCATTTTGATGAGTATTATAAATCTACAAGATTTTGATAACATCTTTCGATGACATTCTATATATCTGAACTCATTTGATGTGTTGTGGAACAATACGTACGATGTTTTGATGTCGATATTTAGATTGTAATATCTTATTATTCCGCGCGTACGTTATAATTTTGTATGTCACAGCGATATTATAAAACTGTATTTATTCAGCCTTCGCCTCGTTAACACCAAAATCACTTAGTGGATAGCGGTGGAGACTGAGGCTGTGGCTTTTACACTATACGATATTTATAGGAAAAAATCTTTGATATATCGCAACATACATTATTCAGTACGGCGCTCAGATACACGACGATGTTTGTGCGATATGATATATGATGTGATATATATATATATATATATATATATATATATATATAT